ACAGCAAGTGCTTTCCTTTTAATTCTCCTATTCCAGCTCTCTGCTCATTCCATTATATTCACTTGGTATGCATCTGAGAACTGGTCAGTGAATAAGGATGGTAGAGGAAGAATTGATACTTTTGAGCTGCGGTATTGGAGAAGAAGACTGAATGTCTCACGGAAGGCCGGAAGAACAAACCGATATGTCTTGGCGAAAGTGCAGCCAGAGTGCTCGCTGGAAGCAATGATGACAAAGCTTCATGTCACATAACTTTGGGGATCTTGTTAGAAGCTCTTCCTTCGAATGGGACATCAAGCTTGGAAAGGTCAGCAAAAGACAGGAAGACCCTCCCCCAAATGAATTGACACAGTGACGGCTGCAATGGGCTCATGTATGTCAGGAATGGTGAGGATGGTACAGGGTAGCAGCAGGGTCAGGGCCATTGCTCATAGCATCGCCGGGGCTTCCTTGACTCAACAACACTAACAATAGTTGATTAATACTCTTGACCATCTCTTCGTGTGTTTGTTGACCATCTAAATGTGCTCTTGGTAAATTGTCCTCCATATCTTTGACCCATTTTGCAGTTGGGTTTGTCTTTCTTGTTGAGATGTTGGAGTTTCTGGTAAACTTTAAAAAATTAATCCCTTCATAAATGAGATTCTTGAAGTTTCTTTTCATGTGCATCATTTCTCTAGCAAATGTCTTTTTCATAGGTAGGACCTTCCCTCCAGCCTAGTGTTGGAGAAGCAGGGTTAAGACACCTCCTCTGGTTTGAGGACCTCACGGTGAGTGAGTGGAGACTGTAAACAGACTGTTTACAGGCTCTGCAGGCACCCATCTAGTGCAAGAATCCTGCCAACTTTCACCCAGATCCTTGTGGTGAAACACACCTCCCTTCATCACACAACCTGGAGCTTCATAGGACCGACTATGTTGAAGATAGGCTTCCTGACGCATTTCAGTTAATGGGCATCTCTGGCTGGTAATTCCAACTCTGCTCTGGGGCGACCCTGAACAACCACATCAGTCACTTTTTCTAAGAACAAGCACATTGGTCAGCCCTCCAGGTCATGATCACGTCCATCTCTAAAGTTCTTTCTGTAAGAAGTGACTAAAAAAAAAAAATTAGGGGAGCTCTGGTGGCCTAGTGGCAAGAAGCTGCACTGCAATCCCAGCGGTGCATGATTCGAATCCACCAGATGCTCTGCCGGGAAAGGAGGGACAATCTCCTCCTGTACCAGTCAGATCTGATTTGACGGTACTCACACACACACAAAATAATAATAAAATAACATTTCAAAAAAATAAAAGGAATAGGCGTGACTGTGTTGCTGTTCTAACTTATCCGGCATGAGTTAGTATCATCGCCTCATTTCCAGACCTGTCGCTCTTACTCAGGTATGTTATCACTTCTGACGGCTCTGGCACTGAGACTCGAACGTGCCCGTCATATGTTCTGCGAGCACCCCAAGATACCAGGGACTACTGTGCTCCCGGGCCTAATCACGCTGTGTTTTATTTATTCCATTGGGATGTTATAAACTTTTTTCAAAAACACTCCATTTGGAGCTCGTGCCAAGCTTATAACAACTAAAACCCGTCATCATTGGCATATGAGCTTCTGAAGCCAGTTCATTCTCCATCGCATCCTTGTGGTTTTGATGGTTAAACTTAAAGCCCCGAGACGATAGCCCTTAGTCACAGTTTGAACAGAAGCATCAGCCAGGTGGCTCAGCTTACCGCCAAACAATAAGATGAGCAGTAACAAGAAAGTCCAGCCAGACACTCAATCATTAGAATAATAAACAATATAAAATCTAAAGGGCAGCTTCCAGCCAAAGGTAACACTCAGAAAGCAGAAGGCGGTCAGATAGAAGGACTGGTGGAAACCAGAATCACAGGGAGGAAAGGGGAAGCGTGATGCTACATCATAATGTCTCATAATCAGTGTTATAAAACTCTGAATGGTTGAATGGGTGTCCAGTTGGCCTTGTAAAGTTACTCAAATCACAATTTGGCTTATATGCTTTTTTTTTTTTTTATGTGAACCGTCAAATCAGATCTCACTGGTACAGGAGGAGATTGTTCCTCCTTCTTCAGCAGAGCATCTGGTGGATTCGAAGCACTCACCTCTGGGATTGCAGTGCAGCTTCTTGCCACTAGGCCACCAGAGCTCGCCAGCTTGTATGCATTTTAGCTTTCAGCTCTTCACTTCTGACTGTCTCTCACCCACTGCATCTGCTCCTACAGTGAAGATGATAACACCAACAACACTTGAGGCAAACATGTGTTAGGCTTTTATTAAACTTACCGAATGACAAATCATGTTATTAAAAACTAAGCAAGACCTCATTCTTGCAGAGCCTGTAGTAGTGTTGAATGGTTGCCTTCCCTGTTTTCTGCACATTTTCTATGATTTCTGCCTGTGAGGCATTTCAGAAATGCTGATTTGTATAGAATGCTACTTAGACACCTTGTTTGGATACACTGGCGTCTGCTATTCAAGATCAAAGGTGTCATGGATTGAATTGTGTCCCCCACCCTGGATGTGTTGGCTTGACAGGGCCTCAGTTCTCAGCACTTGGGATACAATGAGAAGTGAGGCAGATACGTAATGACCTCTCACAAGCTGATTGTCCCTTGGGCTGTAAGACGCCCTCAGGGTGGAATGCAGTGCTCTTAATTGCACCAGTTTAAGGGAAGTTTCCCTGAAGTGTGGATTATCGTCCAAGAGAGAAAAGTGAGCAGAGATCCGAGCCACAGTAATACCCATTAGACCCTGGCCCCTGTTTAGGAAACCCCTCCAACATACTGCCACGAGGTGGTCTTGGCCTAGAGGTGGCACTCTGACTTTGGACTTCTAGTGTAACATTTGCTGTGTGTTAACACCATCCTCTTGTGGTATTAGGTTACCAGGGCAGGAAGGAAGACGCTTGATGTCATCACCAAGAGCAAGCTCACTCACTGAACAACTGAACTACCATCCCATTTGTGGTTTCTTCAGCCAGGAGAGTGTTTGTCCAATAACAGCAACAAGCCAGCACCCGGACGAAGGTCCAGTCGTGTGCTGTCTGGCCCCCCACCCCACCCACCCCACCCCATACTTTGATGCTGATTCCCTTGGGTCCCCCATTTTCTACCTCAGGCCCTCTTCACAGGAAGCCTGTGAATTGAGTTCTTCAGCTCACAGTGACTCAAGCTCATTATTTCCCTGTCTCTAAGATGACATGGAAATCTCTCTGGCTCAGGGTTCAAACCACATTCCCCGAGAATCTGAAAATGAAAGTGATCAGAGGCCCCTGCTTTATCCTGCAGCCACGGTGATGGCTGAAGAAGGCCGAGGAGACAGACCCCAAATCCAGGCCCTTCCCCGAGGCTCCCTGTGCAACATGACACTTTACCTAGACTTTAAAGGGTCAGAGGAGTTAGGGCTGCTGTCACAAGACTGGAACTGCACCTGGAGGCTGATTATTCCCCGTTCTACTCAAAACTCACCCTCTCAGGTGAATAACAGGGCCAGATGGTGGTTTAGTCCCTCATTAGACCTGCTCTTCAGTTGTTGTTGTTGTTTGTTGTTGTTGTTGATTGCCTTTGAGTTGAGCACGACTCATAGCGACCCTATGAACAAAAGGCCTGAAACCTTTATCAACATTTATCAAAGTTCATAGAGTTTCCAGAGGCATGTTGTTTAGGAAGTGGACATCTGTGTTGTATTGAGGGGCTTGGGGTTTGGTGTTTTTTTTTTTCACCAAAATAGTGGCTTTTTTTGGGGGGGGGGTATCTTTTTTTTTCCCAAAAGATTTTTAAAAAAAAATTTTTAAAAAAGACTTCTTTCATGACAAAACCACCAAGGACACAGGCTCTCTGAAGTCCGTCACAGTCAAAGTTGGAGTGCCTTAAAAGTGCTTGTATTAGCAAAAATAAGCAGTATTAACAGAAAAATAAGTAGAGAAAAAGGAAAAAAAGGTGCTTGTATTGCTCTGCTCACTGCTGTTGACCCTTGAAGGAAAAGTCAGTAAAGTCAAAGAGAAATTAATTGGGTGAAGGTAACCCACAGTCATTTATCAAGCTTCCTTGCGGCCACCTACCTGGAAGAACTCGGGTTTCTGTCTTCCTTTTCCAGTACACCACACACACACAGAGTGCATACACGTGTACACACACACACACACACACACACACACACTGCATACACACACCATGGCGCACGTGCACGATAACTCCCTGCCTCCCAATTCCAAGCATATGGTTCCCTATCCCTCCTCTTCCATCCTATTCACCCTCTTCTCTAGGGTCTCACTTCTACTAAGGTCATTTAAACTTTAGTTAATAATGCTGATGGCCAAAATAAGGGCTAGGGATAGCCATTACCCCATGTGTATTGGAGCTTCCTTTGCGAGAAACGACTTTCCTTTCAACCCTCCAGGAGAAAGCCATCAGAGTGGATAATGCCTCCTTGACTCCTTCTCCCTGGCCAGCCGTCTTTATGCCCGCCTCCCACGTATCTTCTACTTCTTGTGTCTTCCCCAAGCGTCCAACTCAGTAAGCTGTGCATCCGTCAGGCCTCGCTGCATAAATGTGTGGACAGCAGAGGGAACTGTGCGTACGCAGCTGGGACAGGCACACTTGTGAGCTGAGAAGTGTGGGGGTATTTTTATGGCAGCAGATTTAAAATAGATGAGATCAATTCAAAAGTGTGGTGTTAATTATGATGGCTCTACTGAAAGTGCCAGAACTTAGCTTGGTTCTTTCAGAAGATAAACTAATGCTGTTAGGCACCCCATCGAAACCTGTTCATAGCTAGCTGACTCTCAATTGGGTTTTCGGAGGCTGTAAATCACACGGGAGGAGACTGCCCACCCTTCTCTTGCAGAAGCACCTGATGGATTTGAACCGCGTGCCTTTGGGTTGGCAGCACAGCACTTTATCAGTAACCCACCAGCGCTCCCTGACAAAGTAATAAATAGATAACTTTAACATTCTTATTTGGTTTTGTTTTCTTTTTTTGGAACCAGGTTATTCAGAGAATATTCTACACAGTGAACAGATCGTGGAGTGGAAAAATCACCTCAACAGAGTTAAGGAAAAGCAACTTTTTGCAAGTATGCCTCTCATTAGAATTCTATTTTAAAGAGCAATTTAAGTAATAGTCTGACTTGACAAATATTTGTATCACTGAGTCAAAAATGCTATCACTAGTTATTAAAAGGACAATGAGATGTGGTGAGGGAACAGAGATGAATAACAGAGCATGACATTGAGCACAGGATAGAAGACCCTGGCTTTGCCCCTGGCCTGGGAGGTTCTACAGCAACGGCTACATGTGCCTGGCCACATGGGACTGCCTGTGACCTTGGCCTTTGAGGATACTGAATATTTATCATGATAAAAACTGGGAAGGAAGGGAGATTCCACACAGAGGAGGCAGCTTAAACAAAGGCTCCAGAATGTCATGTCTGGGAAGTGTTACTTCGAGGAACCAAAGAACACTGCCCAAGAGCAGCCTCTGTTAGGAAAGTGCCCACAGATGAGGCTGGAAGGACATGCTGGAGCCAGGTTGACAGGATCTTACGGGAGACACTATACTGAGGAATTGATCCCTGGTCCTTCCAGTAAATGGCTCTTTACCCAGCTCCTGCCGAGAGAAAATACTCAACATGCCATTTAAGAAGGAATGCGTTGTCCCTCAGTTATTTTCTTTATCCAAGGAGAGAAATCAGAAAGTAATTGACCACTAGTGGGAGCCTTTTACTGAGGTCGATTTCATGCCTGATTGTTGATGTGTCTGTAAAGCCTAGCTCTTCACACGTAAAGAAAATAAAATAAAATATATTTAACAAAATATGTTTTTAAAGGAATAGTACTCCACAAAGTTTAGGCCAATAATGCAATCTTAGTTATTCCTGTTTTCCTCTGTGACAGACAAGATGGGCACAAATATTTTTATTCTAAAATTAGCCAGCATTGTTAATAGCGATTGAGCACCTGATGGCCGCCTAGGTGTCTAGATACGAGATAAATGTTAAAATTGCAGTAATTTCACAAAAGAAACCTAACATCTTAAGAATGATTATAACAAGCACGCATGTTCCTGAGGCACTCTGTAATTTCTGTAATTTTGAGTCATTATTATTATCCATATTCTTTTTACTGAAGATAACATTTCAGGCCCAAGTATCGTTGAATAACTTGCATAAGATCATACAAGTAAGGGGAGCTCTGGTGGCCTAGTGACAAGGAGCTGCAACTACAATCCCAGAGGCGCACGGTTCAAATCCACCAGATGCTCTGCCGGGGAAGGAGGGACAATCTCCTCCTGTACCAGTCAGATCTGATTTGACGGTACACTCACACAAAAATAATAAAACAAAATTTTAAAAAATCATACAAGTGAATGAATGAAGCTATGCTCCTATTTTCTATTGCTTAAAGCATGGTTAATTTTTTTCTCTCCCTTTTCCTCTCGACCTGTTTTTCTAGTTTTACATCTTAGGATGTGGTGACATGTCACAAAATAATCAGAATATTTGAACACATCTTGAGTCATAAGCAAAAGTCACTGTCTTCCCACCCTATCAAGATCCCATCATCCCCAGAAGGAACCCACATTGTTGTTGTTGTCATGTGCCATTGAGTCGCCTGTGATTCATAGCAACCCCATGTACAACAGCCCTAAACCCTGCTCTACCCCTTTCCAATCTTCTTGTTTCCAACACTCCTATCCCCCATTACCCCAGTGACAGAATCAATCCACCTCATAGAGGGTCTTCCCCTTCTTCGCTGTCCTTCCACCCTCCCAAGCATGACATCCCTCTCCAAGGACTGGTCCCACCTTATTTGTGATTTTATTGCCTTGTATATGTTGACAAGGGCATATACAATTTTGTATTGCTGCTTTAGACGTTTTTCATTGGCTTGGGATCATATTTTCTATTCCATTAACTTGTTTGTTTTCCCACTTAACAATGTGTCTTTTCTATTCCACTTAATAAGCCTCTCTCATTTTTAAAAAAACTACTAAACAGTTTATTATTGCCTGACTTACCCGTGACCAATTACATATTCCTCTGTTGATGGATGGCATTTTCCAGATCCTATTGCAATAATGCAATGAACATACCTGTAATTTTTTAAAGAAAATAGAAATGTGAGTGAGACTGTCCCTCGAGCAGACAGCTGAAGGGGAAGTTCTGAATCCAGTCGTGTGCGCATTTTTTCATTTGTTCTACCTTGCCAAGTTACTTCCCTTAAAGCCTGTACTAACTTATGCCTCTGCTTGCATCCTAACCAACCGTAGCACTTATCCATGTTTTTATTCTGTGACAGTCCAGTGGGTGAAAATGATAGCCCTTGATTCTCAAGGTTTGCTGCCTTGAAAGTAGTCTGCCTGACCCACTTTAAAGATTATTCTCAAAAAACAAAAATTTTAAGGAAGTTAGGGATCCATGTATATCTTGTGGTTGTGTTGTTATTGATTGCCTTCAAGTCAAGCACAACTCATAGCAACCTGCTGAACAAAAGGCCTGGAGCTTTTCTATAAATAGCGACATTTATCAGATTTTTTACCACCCTAATAAAACTCCTGTGGGAGCTCTGATGGCATAGTGGAAAGGAGTTGGACTGCCAACTCACAGGATCAGAGTTCGAATCCACTCACTGCTTCATACGAGGAAGATGGGCAGGGCAGTCTCCTCTCGTACGATTTACAGCCTCTGAAAACCCACTAGAGGGTCAGCTATGAGTTGTTTCCAACTCAACAGCACAAAATAATAACACCAATAACAAACAGTGCAGTTACTATCATTTTTACATATATTGAAGATCTCCTTTATGTGAATATGGGGTTTGGGTTTTTACCTTACTATGTACAATCTTATATCCTGTATTTTGTATTTACCACATAACAAGGCTTTTTTTTGTTTGTTTGTTTCTCCATAGACTTTATGATTTTTATTGTTGTTGATTGCCATTGAGTTGAGCATGACTCATAGCGACCCTATGAACAAAAGGCCTGAAGCCTTTCTATAACTGTCATCATTTATCAAAGTTCATAGAGTTTCCAGAGGCCTGTTGTTTAGGAAGTAGATGCCACTCCTGATTCCAATTACAAATTTTTATTTGCTGCAAAATATTTTTTAACCAGATTTCCCATAATCTAGTAATTTGTTGTTTTAACCATTCACAACATTTGCATTTCCCAGTGTTTTTATTAAAGAATATTTTTATCAGACTAATACATTTGTATTATGGAATAATCCACTTTGCACCTTGAAATCTATTTTAACTTCTACTCTCGGTGACACATTTGATTTTGTTAACAGAGCCCTCAGTAATGGCCCCTCTGCCTCCCTGAATGTTTGTCCTCCAAAGGCACTTCCCTGTGACTGTGCATGGTATGTTGTTGTTGTTGTTGTTATGTATGATCAAGTCGAAACCGGCTCAGAGCTGACCCTCCAGCAGGTTTTCAGAGGCTGTAAATCACATGGGAGGAAATTGTCCATCTGTCTCCCATGGAGCAGCTGGTAGATTCAGACCTTACAGAGCTCAGTAAATGCTTGTTGATTCCAAAAAAAGAAAATTTGAAGTTGATTTTAAAAAATTTTTCGGCTGGGTTCTCAGCATGAGCCAAAGCTGGGTGTTGATCATTTTAAAAGCATTATCTCTTCTCTCACCATTTCAGACGCTAGCCCTTTTGGAAGAAGAGGAAGATATCAACCAAATCACAGATTATTTCTCCTATGAACACTTCTATGTTATTTACTGTAAATTCTGGGAACTCGACAGAGATCATGACCTCTACATCAGCCAGGCCGATCTGTCTCGATACAATGATCAAGGTGAGTGCTTCCGGAGATGTGCAGGCAGAAGTTGGGGCACTCTGCAGTGGTGAGGTGTTTTCACCCCTTCATTTCTGTGTCCAATCAAGTCCTCTCTGTCAGGTCAAGGACAAATTTAAATAGTTTAATTTTTTTTTTCCATTCAAATACCAGGTGTAGAAGGTATTTGGAGGTGAATAAGGACGTAGTCTTGGTTTTGATGGCACAGAACCAGTTTGTGTATACTGAGTGCTTTCTGATGAGTAATTCAATAAGACCCACACCTTACACCATTTGTTTGAAGGAGTATGTATATGCACCTGTAGAAACATTCCCATTACCAGTGTTTCTGTAAAAAGCCAAGGATGGAGATTCTCTTTCGCCCCTGCCTTCCCCTAGCGCATGGACTAGTTTTCCTCCCTCTTGTTTTACATTTCTACCTTTCACTATTTATTACTCCTGGAGTGAAAGTTTACAGAGGGGATTGGTGGCCCGTTTCCCCATGCACTCATAAAACTCTTCTTTGGGAATTTAGTTCTAGAACAGATGCCTTCTCTGCAGGTGAATTTCTATGCTTTCTTTTTGTCAGAAAACAAAAGTTACATATCACATGATAATGCATTTCCTGCTTTGTTTTTGCTGGTTATAAACTTTAGACACTATTGTTTTCATGATTTCGTTTTCTTACCTAAGTAAAAGATACATAGATTCATTTCCGCTGTAAAGATTGTCGCTGTTCTTAAACGTCTCCTTGACTGATGCTGATTAATTTTCTTAAGCCTTATGTAGTTGTTGCTGTTGTTATGTACCTTTGAGTTGAAACTAACTCATCGCGGACCCTCCAGTAGATTTTCAGAGGCTGTAAATCACACAGGAGAAGATAGCCCATAAGCAGCTGGTGGATTTGAATCATGTGTCATTGGGTTGGAAGCACAGCTCTTTGCCACTAGGCCACCAGAGCTCCCTTTTAGACACAGCAGAGTCAGCAAACAAACAAATCATTGCCCTTGAGTCACAAACAACTCATAGCTGACCCTCCAACAGCTTTTTAGAGGCTGTAAATATCACAGAAGGGGGCTGCCTGTCTTTCTCCCTTGAAGCAGCTGGTGGATTCAAACCGCTGGCCTTTGGCTTGGCAACACAATTCCTTACTCACTAGGCCACCAGAGCTCCCTATGCTGTTGTTGTTACGCACCATCGAGTGGCCTGCAACTCATAGCGACCCTGTGTGCAATAGCTCTGAGCCCTGTTCTATCCAGAGCCAGTCTCACTGACTCCAACACACCAACCGCATTACCCCGGTGACTCAGTCAATCCATCCACTCCAAGGTCTTCCCCTCTTGCACTGTCACTCCTCCCTTCTGAGCAAAATGTTCTTCTCCAAGGACTGGTCCCTGCTGGCCACATGCCCTAAGTAAGTGAGATGGAAATCCTTGCCTCCAAAGAGCATCCTGGTTTCACCATCTCTAGGACAGACCTGCTTGTTCTCTTAGCTGTCCATGGTATGTTCAGTACTCATCTCCAGCACTACAACTCAAAGGCCTCAATCCTTCTTCTGTCACCCTTAGTCATCATCCAGCTCTCTGATGCAAAGCAAGCTATTGCGAAGACCAAGGCCTGGATCAGGCGCACCTTACTCCCTATAGTGGAGTCTAGATCTTAAATAAGTGTTGAGTTTCACTTCCAGTATTTAGTATGTCGGTGACTAACAGCAAGCACCCTAAGAAAAGGCAATATTCCCAGAGATTCTCAGGTAGCTCGGGTAACTGTGCCTTTGCCCATACCAGTGACAGATCGTCTAACTGCACCCGCCCTTCCAGGGCTTGCACGACCCTCTGGGTTCTAAAAGCCCCTCTTCGAATGGCATAACCATAATAGTTCTCTTGTTGTTGTTGCTGAGTCAGAACCGACCCAAAGCTGACCCTCCAGCCTGTAAACTGCACCGGAAGTGATTGCTCAGCTCTCTTAAGGAGCCACTGGTGGATTTGAACCACCGAAGAGGTGCATAGCCTTTGGGCTAGCAGCACAGCTCACTCCACACTACGCCCGAGCTCCTTCTGTAAAGCGAGCAGCCTTGGAAATCCCAAGGGGCAGTTCATCCCGGTCCTATCACTGACAGTCAGAGGTAACTCAGCAACGGCCTTGGGCACCTGACTCTGTGTACAAGAGTTCGATGCTGGTGGTTGCCGATACTCTAACAGCCCATCATTGGTGCTATGGTTTCAGTATGTTTGCAATTCCTTGGGAAACTTGGTAAGAGGACACACTCTGCTGTCAAACCATCCCCAGGCTTGAGCTTTCTCCCTCTCCCTCTCTCCCCCCACCACCCCCTTTCTCTCTTTAAAATAAAATCTTGAACTCTTCATATGACCCGCTGCTATTGAGACTCAAAGATCTATCACGGGTCTCTATCTTCAAACAACAGCATACTACCCTAAGATCTAATTGTTTCTGACTAAAATTTACTTAATGGAATTTCTAAAACACTTAGGTCACATCCTAGACCTTTATAATATAGGGATGTAAGAAAAGTGTGCTTCTAGGATGCTTTGATATCTTTAAAAAATATATTTTATACTGGTTTGCTTACAAAGTTCGTATACGTTGTTTTCACACCGGATCTTTTTTTATTTCCTCCCTCTCGCTTTGATGTCTTTTGTAAAATTCTGCTTGAAAGTGCCATCCATTTTATTCACACAAAGTCTCTCTTATTAGAAAGTACACAGTTAGTTCCTCCTTCAGTTGAATGTGGGATAAAAGTTTTCATATTTAGAGTAGTTTTCATTCTTGTTCTTAGTGACCAAAACAAAAAGCCATACTTTTTTTATTTCACCTTTTTTTTTTCCAGCTGTCAGGATCTTCAGAACTTAGTGCTCAGTTGTGCCTAGATGTCAAAAATATCTGTTTGTTTAAAAAGTTATATACACAGATACATACAACACTGCATAGTTTAACTTCAAATGCTTATTTTCAAAAGGTTTAACATATATACATAAAAAATGTGACTATTTTCAAGGAACATTGTCATGGTTTGGCTCGTAGATAATAAAAACAAGTGTTTTAAAAGTACTACCTTTAGGGGAGCTCTGGTGGCCTAGTGGCAAGGAGCTGTAACTACAATCCTAGAGGCGCACGGTTCTAATCCACCAGATGCTCTGCCGGGGAAGGAGGGGCAATTTCCTCCTGTACCAGTCAGATCTGATTTGACGGTACACTCACACAAAAATAATAAAATTTAAAAATAAATAAAAGAAAATTTAAAAGTACTACCTTTCTGGATCATGCTTCTCACTAGCTCTGTAATTTCTTCTTATCTTTAGCTTCGTCCAACAGGATTATTGAAAGAATATTCTCTGGAGCAGTAACAAGGTAAGAAAAAGCATCCGTGTTTTCAAATGAGCTACAAGTGCCATTGGAAGAAGTTCCTCTTGGCAAGGCTTCCTGCACCATCTACTAGCACTGCCTCCCAGGTAGAGAGTCTCGCTGCTAACCCAGACGCCCTGCTTCTCCAGAAGTTCAAATCCACCAGCGGCCACTCCCCAGGAGAAAGATAGGCGTCTCCTCCAGCGGGATGTACCGCTTCACAAAACCGCTGGAGCGTCAACGCTGAGTCAATTCTGACTCGGCAGCTGGGGCTTCTTTTTTAAATTGGGTGAAATGATGTCCCACCAAAACTATCGTTAACATCTTAATAAAGAACAGTGATTCTTTTTAAGTGTCAGTCTTATGTCTAAAGATAATTAACAATATTTGATTCTGGTAATTACTTGCATTCAAATTAGAAACGATTTTTTTTTCTACTTACAAATGCCTTTTTTTCTACTTACAAATACCTTCTGGTTTTACGCTCTACACCTTTGTTCTCAGTGTCAAACATTGCATCGCTTCTATATGGCCTTGGCCACCATGGTAACCATTAGCACGAATGATTGGCTGGAACTATGCAAATGAGGAGGGGCTCTGTAGATAGGACAGCTGTGGTGGCCTAGTAGTAAGAAGTTGTGCTGCAATCCCAAAGGCACGTGGTTCGAATCCACCAGCTGCTCCACAGGAGAAAAATGAACAATCTCCTCCGTTGTGATTTACAGTCTCTGAAAACCCAGTGGGGGGATCAGCAATGGGTCAGTTCCAACAGCACACAACAAAAACATGCAGATGAGGTTCTTGGGCCCACAAGGAGGCTGGATGGCTTGGTAATGATACAGGTATAGCACCCTTGTGGGATAAGTTAATACAAGGAAGGTGGACAGCCCCCTGATGCCATCCTGAAAAGTGACCATCACCAAGCCGATGGGATTAGAGTGTGTCCCTTGGACTTGAGGAGCCAGGAGACAGGACACCAGAGATGGTGAGCACCAGCACCAGAGAAATGACAGCCACAGAGCCGGGGGAACCCAGAGACCGGCAGGAGACAGTGCAGTGGGCTTTCCAAGCCCTGGACCATGAGGGTCCAACAGCTTCCACAGGAGGCCTACTGACTGAGTTGGGTGTTGTCCAGGCACGTGATGACGTTAGCTCAGTGACCCATGAAGAGAGTAGAGGCCAGGCCAGCCTGCGAGGTCAAGGGTAGAGCACGGCCTGCCTGTGGCCACGCTGAGGAGACGGGCCTGCTGCCTACCTGCGTCTCGCGTCTGTCCTGAATTGTCCCCCGTGGATTCCCTCATTGACACAGTGGCCACAACATGCGCTCCAACGTAACGTGATTGTGAGGACGGCGCAGGGCTAGGCAGTGTCCATTCTAGTGACCCCAGGGCTGCTGGGAGTTGTAATGGACTTGAAGTCACATTAACAGCAACAGCATCATCTTCCTCCTCCTCCTGTGTTTTCTCCAAACAAGTGCTCAGGAAATTTTCTAACAATGTCTTCTTCTTTGTCTTCTTCCCCACACCCCCATGCCAACCCCTCCCAGAGGACAGACAGTACAGAAGGAGGGAAGGATGAGCTATGCCGACTTTGTTTGGTTTTTGATCTCCGAGGAAGACAAAAGGAACCCCACAAGGTATGACCTACATGTTTCCTTCACCAAGATATAGCTTGCATGCATAAGGAGGTCGTGGTGCAGACCTACTGAATTACCCAAGGGATACTGAGAGGAGAGTCCTCTGGGGCTCTCAATCCATGGTCACAGAGAATCAAAGGAAGGACAGTTACCCAGAGAAACACAGGTGAAATGACTGGCCCTGCAGGCAGGTCAGAATAGAAAGGAAAGATACGAATCCCAGAGAGATAAGTCTTAGGTCCCATAGAAATGAAAGTTAACTATAGGATCCACTGCACCAGCTACTTCTCTGGTCCGATACTTGTCTTGAAAGTCTCAGTAGAAGCCAGCTCAGGTAGGAGACAGTTATCAAGTTATAATCTACCAGACCTCAGGGATTGAAAGCAGAGGAATGGGCAGTTGGACAACTCCTATTTACCTAACCTCTCAGGACAGTACCATCCATTGTACTAACATTATGTGGCTTGGTCAGTGGCTGTGACTGCTGTTGCTTTGTCTTGAAAGAGGATGCTATAGGCAGAGGCTGGAGAACATTATACTGAGTGAACTATTTCCGTCTCATAAGGACAAATACTGCACAAGACCATTATTGTAAAATTAGAAGGATAACTAGTAAGATGTATACGGAAGTCCAAAGGGGGGAAACGGAGGGGACAGGGTGGCTGAGGGTGGGGAGGGGAAAAATCATGGGGTGGTAGAGTTTGGTGGGTGGAGGGGGCGATGGTGAAGGAGTTACAAGGGATTCCTTAAGGACCTGAAAAGATGGTGTAATGGTACACAAGGATACTTAATGTTATACAATACAATGTATGCAAATGATCATAGGAAATGTAATATGAATGCTGTAATGGGTGAAGCACAATGTATATGAATGAAACACAAGGTATATGAATCCTGTATGTAAACATAATGTATATGAATCCTGTATGTAAAAGTAATCGGTAAACACACAAACACACACACACACACACACACACACACACATCTAAAAGAACCCCAAGTGGAAGTTTTTCCTCCCTCTCCCCCAGACTTCATCCTCTTGACCCAGGTGTAGCATCTTCCGTACTGTCTTACAGATACTTTGGGGGACCTGTTTTTATTGTCCATTTAAACTCTTGACTCTTCTAGTTTCTGTAATCTGAACATGAACAGCCATATTGGATTCTGGTCAAACATTTCTTGGCAAGAATATGAAAGTGGTGGTGTTTATTTCACGTGTCTTCTGTTCTGAGGCGAAAAAGATCAGGTTATTCCACTATTAACATGGCATCCAGGTTTCTGTAATATAAAATTACTTATTTCCCTCTACAGCCAACAAGTAACACATGTATATAAAATATTTTGTTCCATAACACATTTTTATTAATAGTTGTATCATTATTTATTAGGTAGGCCTTGCCTGAATTAGATTTTACACTGGAGATTACAGATGGGTTCTTTTCTAACTCTGTTTATTTGCTAATAATATGCCAATGTGTCATATCCAATGGAAGCTAATAAATGCAAATTAATAAAAAGAATTGTTGCTAAAATGGGAAAGGAAAGACAGGGAATAAAATACTTATCAATATAATAGTTGGGTTAAGAAAAAGGCAAAGCACAATAAAGGATTGATCAAACATTATAATTAACTATATTAATAATAATTAATGTTCTAAAACAAATTGTATTTGAATGATTGAAAAACAAGTATGATCTGTAAACTTTGAATCAAATTTAAAGAGACACTTTGTAAAAATTTTGTAAATGTATAGAAAGAAAATCGGCAAGAATATGAAATTTTATAAATGGCATTAATTGCTAAGTTTAACATTTCTAAAATACTCCACCCAGCAACAGGAGAATACCCTTCCTTCTCAAGCACATAAAACATTCACCATAATAAACAGTGCCTTGACTATAAGAGAAATATTCTTAAGTTTATAATAGTTGAAATCAGATTCTGGTCTCAAAATGGCAGTGTAAGAAATTCCAAAGACTTCGCCATTCAGTGAAATAACCAAACCTGGTTAAAATAATAATAATAATAAAATATTAAAGTTTCCCCAAGGGAATTAAGCAAATGAAGAAAGATTTTCTCAGGAATATGTCCTAAATTTCAGCACGAACAGTGAGAGACTGTGGTTTGCCATCTCCTCCCCCCTTCTCCTCCCCACCCCAACTCAGCTTTGTGGAAATTCTGCTGGAGGTAGGGAGAGCTCTAGTGGTCTACTGCGTAGCAAGTCGTGCTTCCAACCCCAAGGTGGGCCGTTCGAATCCACCATCTGCTGCCAGAGAGAAAGATGGGCCATCACCTCCTGTGCAGTTTACAGCTAATGAAAACCTGTGAGTGGGTCAACTGTGAGTCAGTCCCAAAGGCAGTGAGTTGTGCATTTACTTTAAGTGAACGCACCTGTCTCCCCAGCTCCTACTCACTTTCCCCACCTGCTCCCAGCTCCCACTTGAGGCCAGTGGTTCTCCTTGAAAGAGGCAAGTGGCCAGCCTGGCTCAGATTCCCCAGCTCCGTGTTACAGTAGCTATTTCTGGAAAGTGGCTAAGGCCTAGGGCTCTCTCCGTCTGCCTAGCCGGCGTTAATAGAGTAGAGGATTTCCTCCAGGCACCGTGAGCGGAGATTTATGGCGCTCAGATGCCATTCCCCAGATGTCTTGTCGAGGTTCTATGCCAATAGAGGCAAGCTGAAAAGACCTGACACTGCCCAGCGCCCTATGAGAAAAGCATGACCGTCCCCTACCCCAAGGCCAGAACAGTGGCATAGAGGTTTCACAGGTTATAAAAAGGCTACTCCAGAGTTCTGCACAGGGGAACGGCACAAGTGTGAGAAAATCCACGTGAGAGAGGCGGGGGGTCAGAGAGAGAAGACGCTCAACACGATGGTTTGACCCAAAGACTGTAACAGTGAGCTCGACCGCATTCGAGATGGTGAGGGCGGCACAGCCTGGGGCAAGGTTCAGATCTGGGGTTCCCAGGCTCGCTCCGAGTGCTAAAGAACCCAACAGCACCAAACGACCTCAACTCATTTGTAGATTCAGATAAACTTGGTTTACTACAAATCACTTTGAAATGCCATCCTAGAAATAGAAAAAGTCACTGCTTTGTTTAACCTGGATCACCTATCATCACACTTGGAAGCAGCAGCAAAGAAATCAAGTGGACGTATTGCTTTGGGCAAATCTACTAAAGTCCTCTCTGAAATGTTTAAAATATTGCATAAGACTATTTTTATAAAATGCTAAACAAAAAAAGATTTATGCTCAAAAAGAATTATTCTTGGATGGTTCATTAGGATGAAAAGGAAGGGAGAGGGGAGTAAAAAATATAATAGTCACATAGTTAAAATGGGTAAAAGAAAATATATATATTTTATATGTGTGTGTGTATATATGTGTGTGTGTGTGTGTGTGTGTGTGTGTGTGTGTGTGTTTGGAAGGAGGAGTGGTATCCAATTCCATAATAGCTTACCTCCGGAAACCCTGTGAACCTGGAGAAAGGATGAAAGGCACCCAAGTGTCGAGGACTCTCCTTCATAGGGTTGCTATGAGTCGCCTGCGACTTGACAGCACTTAACAACAACACAACATATATATGTGTATATATATGTATATATCTTCAATAAGGGAATGATGAACTGCTAAAGAAAGGAAGAACCAGAAAGAGGAGAAAAGAGCAGAGTAAAAAAAAATATTTTAAAAACAATGACTTACAACTTCTTACACTTGATGAAAAACAACTAGCAGATATAAGAGGCTCAGTGATTTCCAAGTAGGACAAATACAAAGATGTATGCATGTAAATGTCATATTAAAAATGTTGAAGAACAAAGTGAAAATCCTAAAGCAACAATAGAAATCTGACTTATTGTAAAAGGAACCAATAAGACTGACAACTGATTGCTCAAAAGAAACTATTGACACATTCAAAGTAGCAGTACATTTCCAACCAAGAGTCTTATATCCAGCAAAGCTGTCCTAAACAATTAAAATAATCCAGCCACACAAAAACAGACTTAATTGCGAGCAGACCAGACTTATCAGAAATAGTATAGGCTGTTCAGCCTGAAAGCAAGCGATCTCAGACAATAATTCAGATCCACAACCAAAAGCAAAAAGTTAATCTGTTAATTATGTAGTTACAAGAGACAGCATAAATGCTTCTTTCTCTCTTAACTAACTTAAAAAGTAATTGTATACAACAACATCTGTTGGAGCTCTGGTGGCCTAGTGGCAAGAAGCTGCCCTGTAACTCAGAAGGCACATGGTTTGAATCTACCAGATGCTTGGCTGGAGAAGGAGGGGCATTCTCCTCCTGTTCCGGTCAGATCTGATTTGACAGTACACAGAAAAAAAGGGGGGGAAACCCTTTATTGTTGTATTCAGCATTAGACATGTATAAATGAGCTCTGTAATGATAATACTGAGTTAGTAAAGTTAAAATGTGTATGGACCATTATAGAAACTTAATTTAAAAAGTAAATGTAAAAAAAAAATGTATATGATAAGTCCACAAACAGCCACTAGCAAGTTAACTGAAAAAAAATTGAAGATACTAAGTTGTTATACTTGGAAAATACTCATTTAATGAAAAATAAATAAAGGAAAACTGTGAAACACAGTAAACGAAAAATAAAATGGTATACACAAATCAACTGTATCAACAGTAACATTAAATATTAGCAGGTTAAGCAGTACACTTAAACTTGACTTGTTGGCTATCTCGTCAGCCAACACTGCAAATATATGACAATGGTAAAAGTTCTCTTCTGCACTTTCGCACATTCATGATCTATATCTGACGGTCATAAATGGTGAGGTGTAAGGCAGGAGTAATGCTGTCTAACCTGGGGAAGGTGATGTGTCAGCTTGGTTGAGATGTGATTGTCAGTGTTATATAATGATGTAGTCATCCTCCGTTTTCACATATTGCTGATTTTCATCTGACAGGTCTTTGGATCCTAACCATGTCAATAAGTGAGGGGTGGGGCTATAATTAAAAAGTAGGAGTTA